GTAGCCGTTGAAGTGGCGCCTGTGATTTGGCCCGAGCTCAATGCTCGGCGGGTTTCAAGCAGCACACCGCCCGTCTCGCCTAGGCCTCCTTGTCACCATCCCGCTGCACAATCTCAGAGAGCACAGTCGTCCGTTAGTGCCGCACATTCACACGCCGAGCCTCGGTTCCCTAAGGTGGGGCGCTTCACCCAGAGCACCCTCCGTTTTGCAAAGACTCGCGTGCCTCACGTTCGCATAGTTTCTCGCTCTACCGCGACGCCTACACAAGGAGAGGCGTCTTCACGGCCAGCTGCACAGCCGGGGATCCACACGGAGATCCGGGCCCATCTACCTTTCACGTACCTGACCCTGACTGTCTGATGTCAGAGCTCCTAACGAAGGCGAACGAATTTTACTGAGAACGTGAAGGAGTTGCAGCAGTTCCTAGGCTTCGCCAACTACTACAACAGGTTCGTGCCAGAAGTGCCACTGACCAACCTACTCAAAAAGGATACGCCCTATACATGGGATACTCCTCAACACCAAGCCATGGAGCAGCTACAGACAGCACTGACTACAGCGCCAGTATTCATCCTACCGGATCCAGACAGAGACTACGTGGTGGAAGCAGACGCTAGTGACCAAGCAGTCGGAGCAGTACTGATGCAGCATCACGGACGCAGTTTGCAGCCCATCGCCTACCTCAGTAAGAAGCTACACGGAGCAGAATTGAATTACCCAATCCATGACAATGAAGCTTTAGTGATATTCACAGCATTCAAGGCGTGGAGGTGTTACCTAGAGGGAGCCAAGACTACATTTTACACTGACCACTGCAGCCTCAAATACCTGAAGTCGCAGCCGACGCTCTCACGACGACAGGTGCGGTGGTTGGACTTCTTGGAGACCCACTTCCACTACGACATCGTCTACAAGCCCGGGCTACACAACAAAGCAGACGCGTTGAGCCGCCCCGGGCATATAGCAAGCATCCGGCTCGATAGGATGAACCCTCTGCTCAAGGGTCTATTCCAACATGGGTACTCTGTGGACGCAGAGAATACTACGGCAGAGAAACAGAAGCTGTTACAGTGGAAGAGAAGGACTTAGCTGTAAGAAAGGGATCAGGAAAGATTTGGGTACCGAACTATGCCCCGCTTCGACAGATTCTGCTGGAGGAGTTTCACGACGTATAGTACGCGGGACATTTCGGGAGCAACAAGACGTTAGCAGGGATAGCGAAGTATTACTACTGGCCCGGGATGGCAGCAGACGTGCAGCAGTTCGTCGCCTCATGCGACACGTGCCAGCGGATGAAGAGTAGCAAGCACAAAAAAGCAGGGTTACTTCAGCCTCTACCTGTACCGGAGCAGCCATGGCAGGTCGTTAGCCTCGACTTCATCACAGGACTTCCTTCGACCTCACGAGGGCGTGACGCTATACTCGTGGTGATCGACAAGTTCTCCAAAATGGGTCACTTCATCCCGACCAACACCACGGCTACAGCTGAAGCAACTGCTCGCCTCTTCTTCGACCGCATCATCACCATCCACGGCATCCCCGCTACGCTCATCTCAGACAGAGACCCTAAGTTCACTAGTAAGTTCTGGAGGGAACTCATGGTATTGTTGGGGACAAAGCTTGCGATGTCTTCAGCATACCACCCCCAGACTAACGGACAGAAAGAGCGACTCAATCAAGTGGTTCAACAGTTACTGCGTACAGCTTGCAAAGACGATGTCAGTCATTGGGACACACAGTTACCAACCCTAGAGTTCGCTTACAACAACGCGTCACATGCGGCCACAGGGAAAACTCCTTTCTTTCTGTGCTACGGACGGGAACCACTTATACCACAGCAGCCAACCACACCGGCACACGTCCAAGCCGCACATGACTTCGTCACCACCATGCAGCAGCTATGGAAGAAGACTCAGTGACGTCTCACCACGATGCAGACCTCCCAGAAGCAGTATGCCGATCGCCAGCGACTTGACCATTCAGTAGCAGTCGGAGATCAGGTGCTTCTTGACACGCGCAACTTGAACCTGTCTCACCTACCTTCCAAGCTACGGCCTCGCTTTTGCGGTCCTTTTCTCGTTGAGGCACAGGTGACACTAGTAACATTCCGCTTGCGCTTACCTACTACGTGGAAGCTTCACAACGCTTTCCATGTTCAGCTACTAAAGCCCTACAAGGACCCCAACCAACAGTTCCAGGGACGCCAGCTACCGCCACCACCACTTGTTCTCATACAGGATGAACCAGAGTACGAGGAGGAAAAAGTTCTCGCTCATCGACGCAGACATGGCAACACGCTCGAGTTCCTGATACGCTGGAAGGGATATGACCTATCGGAGGACAGGTTGGTTGCAGAAGCTTATATGGGCAATGCACGCCGTGCTCTCAAGGACTATCTTGTCAAGCAGGGTGTTTCTCACGCCACCCAGCTTTGAGGGGGGGACGTGTGAGAGTACGTCGGCTTATGCTGGCTTTGCTAGCTTGCCAGGACTTTATTATGTTATTACTAGCTTAGATTTATTTTATCTTGCATGCTTTTGCTTGATTTCCTAGGTTCGTTGCCTTTACTATGGTTATTACAGTTGTAGGCACCGAACTAGGTTGAGTGCACCGAATTCTAGGCTTTTCGGCTGCCACCAAATTGCCTTCTACCGAATTCGGGAAGGACCCGTTCCGGACGCTTTGCGACCCGCGGAACCTTCTAGTAACACCCGGGTTACTGCCTTGTGTCGAGCCTATATATAGCCTCGCCTTGTACCCAGGTGATTCGTTCAATAGATTCATCTTTCCTGAACTAGATCCTCACAAAACCGTTGTGGTATGGTGTAGGATTGGGCTCCATTCTTGCACGGACATTCAACAAGGTGCTTAGAAGGAGTGGTATGAAGCACAGGCCCAACGCACTAGCGGTGATGCATTATCGACAGCTTTGTTTAGACAGGGCGACGTTGCAGCGTTCAGACCTATGTGTTGCGCGACATGGTGAATCAAGGGATTAAGGGATTGGTTTGCATCCAACGTTGAAACCGTTGTGGTATTGTATTGGATTCGGCTCCATTCTTGCACAGACATTCAACAAGGTGCTTAGAAGGAGTGGTATGAAGCACATGCCCAACGCACTAGCGGTGATGCATTATCGACAGCTTTGTTTAGACAGGGCGACGTTGCAGCGTTCAGACCTATGTGTTGCGCGACATGGTGAATCAAGGGATCAAGGGATTGGTTTGCATCCGACGTTGAAACCGTTATGGTATTGTATTGGATTGGGCTCCATTCTTGCACAGACATTTAAGGTGCTTAGACGGAGTGGTATGAAGCACATGCCCAACGCACAAGCGGTGATGCATTATCGATAGCCTTGTTCAGACAGGGCAAAGATGCCGGAATCAAGGGATTGGTTTGCATCCGACGTTGAAACCGTTGTGGTATTGTATTGGATTAGGCTCCATTCTTGCATCTTCATTCAGCACAGTGCGTTAGGTCCACTAAACCGCGTGAGAAGTGACGATAAACATATTCAGTACATGCAAAAATCATACGTTAGGGCACGGAGTTCTTGCGTGCTTCTCGTATGTTTCCAGACCACAGTGGAGAACTTGGAGGGTTTTTAAACGTTACCGTTGTCAAGTAGGGGTTGTTCTTGGGCAGGCCTTAAAGTATGATTGTTTAATAATTATCAATGACTTGACTCTCTATTTAAAATGTAACTGTACATTGTCATTACCTGGTTTGGATTAAGGCTCTAGAGGTGCGCACCACTTTGGGCTCACCTACGTGATTGCAATTTCCCCCCTATAGCGATTCTCGAAAGAATCACAGCACCAAACGGATCTCTTCCCGCTCTTCCTCATCCCTCTCGACTCTCACGCAAGTTTTTGAATCAAGAGGCATGTACTTCTCACCGTGCTCGCAACGCACACACACGACCAACCGTCTTAAACTCCACTGCATATGCCTCTGCTCACGACGTGGTTGCTCTTAACGGGGGCGACACGCCTTGTAGTAAAGGAGAATGACGTGCTGTGGGCGGTCAGTATCGTGTCGTGTCGTTGCCGCGTTGCTCGACCATCGTTAGCCAGTCCCTACCATTAGCGCCACGATCAAGTGCCAGTCGTGCAGTGATACAAGCCGCCATGGACCGTTCGCGCTTTGGCGATGACCGTGTTGCAATCACAGCCTTCTTTGACGGTATACTTAATGCGCTCACAAGCTTCAAACAGGCTAGTTGCTTCACAGACCAATTCTCGACTCTTAGACGGATCCGTAACACATGGGCTCTTTGCCAGGTGCTATCTGCGAAATCTTCAACAGATGGTTCCCCAACGCCCAAGTTTATGGCGGTCATAATTCATGGCGGACCCCTTGTCAAGGGCTTTCTGCTGTGGCAAGGCCCTCGCGATCTGCACCGTCCGTCGGTCTACACGCTCTGCTATACGTCCACGACATTCTGTCGGACGCTCCAGATGCTCCCGCTTCACCTACAGCGTCTAACGCATCCAACTCCGTCAGTGCGAGCGGTCCTCCTCGCGTGCCTGAAGCTAACGTTGACGAAACTCCCTCGGCTGTGAACGAGGGAGCTCCTGAAGATGAACATCAACCACCACCAGGAACACCTGCAGCTGACACGAGTGACTAGGGATGAGCACGAGGCGAACACGAACATGTTCGCGTTCGCCTTGGCTCGAACAAGGCCGTTCGGCGAACTGCCCAAAGGGGTGTTTGAAGTTCACCTTCAGAGGCGAACACGAACATGTTCGACAGGAACATGTTCGAGTTCGCCCCTGAGGGCTTTGCAAAATAAAACACATAAACTACAACACTGTAAAGGGTTCGAGCTAGAAGGGTATCCGCTTTGGTATTGATTTGACTTACCCTTGACGTGTTTATAACAAATTAAAAGAGCATAAATAAAGTGCGCAAGAGAGCATGTCCACAGTCAAAGGAATCAACATGGGAGGGTCACAAAGGGGTCCCTCCATACCCCCTTAACAAAATGAAAACTACAGCCCAGTCCCAGTCCCGCCTCCAATGCCACCATCCTCGCCACCTCCCGCTACTGCGTCCGCCCCTCTCCCCTCCGCCGCCTCCCCCTCCACCTCCTCCGCCGCCTCCCCCTCCACCTCCTCCTCCTCCTCCTCCTCCTCCTCCTCCTCCTCCTCCTCCTCCTCCTCCTCCTCCTCCTCCTCCTCATCCTCCTCCTCCTCCTCCTCTTCCTCCTCCTCCTCCTCCTCCTCCTCCTCCTCCTCCTCCTCCTCCTCCTCCTCCTCCTCCTCCTCCTCCTCCTCCTCCGCGCCCTCGCCCTCAATAGCGATCTCCAGAGCTGCGACCCCTTTCGTGCGGCGGCCCTCACCGATCCTCTGGCCAGGGTGCGATCCATACCATGATCTCAGAATCATGCAAGATCGCGCCCTCTCTGAGTTCAGCTGGTGACGCTTCCATGAAATGAGGTTGCGGCCCAAGGAGAATACGCGCTCGCTTGCCGCAGACGTGGCCGGGATCGCGAGATAATCCCTCGCCATCCTCTTCAGCGTCTCCATGTTCGTGGAGGTGCGCCAGTACTCGCTGAAACGCCGTACTGCACCCTCTCGGACAAGTACCTGCTGACCTCATCATCCTGCACAAGACCACCCCCCCTCGCCGCCTGGCTCGCAGACAGACGCGCCGCAAGGCGTCGGCGACTAGGGAGGTACAGGTCGTCGTCTTCCTCCCCCCCCCTCTCTCCCTCATCCTCCTCTACAACCGTGGGAAGTGCCGTGGGCCTAGGAGCCAGCTCCCTCGCTGCTGCCTGGTACTCGGCCACCCGATTTCGTAACAACGCGATCACCACGCTTGACGGTGGGCGCGGCCTATCCCTGCGCTCCGTCTCTGAATGCTGCGTCTCCCAGTGGGGGTCGTCGAACCACGCCGCCTTCATGGAAGGATCCAGGAAGGTGGCGATCCAGTCCTCGTTGCTGCTGATGTACGCGTACTTCTTCAGGATTTTCAGCGCCTTTTCGACTAGAAGCTTCAGCAGCGCCGAGGGTCCCTTTGCCAGTCTGGCCTCCATGGCGTCGATGAGGCCGTTGTAGTACGGCACCACCATCGACAGTGTCGGGTACGCCGTCCCCTCGGCTGCCTTGGAGACCTTGTTGAAGGGGCTGAGAAAATTCTTCAGCTCCCTTAACATCCCCCACTGCTCATCTGACAGGCGCATCTTCTCCACCTTCTCCTTGTCCGCCTTCGACAGGCCCTGTTAGTCAGGGTTTGGGTTTTGTGGGGCATATGAATGTGATGGTTTTCGGGGATAGGTATCGCAATTCATACAACCAGCAACCATGCCATACGCATGGCACACACATGCCGCACACATGCCACACACATGCCGCACATATGCCCGCATACATGCCATGCCACACACATGCCGCACACATGCCACACAAATGCCGCACACATGGCATACACATGGCACACACATGCCGCACACATGGCACACACATGCCGCACACATGGCGCACACATGCCGCATACAAGCCCGCACACATGCCACACACATGCCGCATACATGCCATGCCATACACATGCCACACACATGTCACACACATGTCGGACACATGGCATACACATGGCACACACATGCCGCACACATGCCACACACATGCCGCACACATGCCGCACACATGCCACACACATGACGCACACATGCCACACACATGCCGCACACATGCCGCACACATGGCATACACATGGCACACACATGCCGCACACATGCCGCACACATGCCACACACATGCCGCACACATGCCACATGCCATGCCATACACATGCCACACACATGCCACACACATGTCGCACACATGGCATACACATGGCACACACATGCCGCACACATGCCACACACATGCCGCACACATGCCACATGCCATGCCATACACATGCCACACACATGCCACACACATGTCGCACACATGGCATACACATGGCACACACATGCCGCACACATGCCGCACACATGCCACACACATGCCGCACACATTCCAGCCACATCCGCCACTAATCCCATGTCCCCTCCCCATCCTATACCTGGGTCAAGGCCAAGAACACAGTGATCGGGGTCTCCAGCTCAAGATAGCGCTCGAGCATGGCATGAGTGGAGCCCCGGCGGGTAGGACTGTCCTGCACCAGCTTCAAGGTTGGTTTCTTGACACGGGCCTGCTGGTTCAGGCCCCGCTGAAGTCCCAAAAACGCCGAGGAGCGTTGAGGCGAGTACCCAACCCAGGACGCCATGTCTCTGAGCACCTTCAACAAGGCGCGAACGGCCTCCACCTTCAGTCCTGCCTGCGCTGCCAAGTTGACCACATGTGACACACACCTGCAAACCATAGCACCACAGGCATGGGTTTTGGTTGACGTGGCGTGGGAGATCACTAAAACTCCGAGTGACCCCACTCAACCCCCACACCGCCGTCCGCGGCCTGCCAACCCGATATCACCCCCACACCACACACACTCATACCTGAAGTGCAGGCGGGAGTTGAAGAAAGCCCGACCACCACCCTCCTCCGACAGCCGTCTGTACGCGGCAATGTTGGCTGAGGCGTTGTCTGTGGTGAGGCCCAGACAACGCCCCTCCAACCCCCACATCACCATCGTGTCCTCCACGATCTGCGCGATCTGTGCTGCGCCATGATGACCCGGCAGCTCGCGAAACTCGAGCACTGCCTCGCGTAGCTGAAACGACTCGTCGATCCAGTGACCTGTCACAACTAACCAAACTTTCCCATTGGGCGCAGTCCAGATGTCAATAGTGTACGACACCTTGCATCCCAACTCCCCCTCCTTCCCCTGTAGCTTCGCCTCGGCTGCATGCAGAGTGGCTGCTGAAAACGCCACCGAGTCGCGTGCCACTGTCCAGTGCGAAGGTATGAAGTTCTTCTGCCCGCAGTGCTGGTTGCACAAGATCAGAAGCTCGCGAAACTGGTGGGGTGGGTGGAGGGAGATCATACAACGAGCATGCGTTGAGTCTCGCTTAACAGTTGCGAATGACATGGAACGAAGTGGCATAAGTGCCCCAACCCAACACCCTCCCCTCAACATCATGCGCTCGTCGTCTCTACAAAACTTGCAAACTACCACGTCCGAGCCAACCAACCAGACCACACCAGCCACGCCCAGCAGCCCTATACCCTTACCGCCTCAGCCTCCACAATTTTGAAGGGCAGGTCGCAGGTCACCACCAGCTTGGCGATCGCTTGACGAAGCTCCAGTTCTGACAGCTTCTTCAACATGTAGCTCTTGATCCCAGCCTCGCCTGACCCCGCCGCCCCTCGCCCCTCTGCCTTCCCTCCCTTCTTTGGGATGTTTGGCCAGCTTTCTGCATGTGGCCAATAATACACGTAGCCATCAGACACTCCGACGTAACCCCCCCTTGGAAACGTCTTGCCCGGCAGTTGCAGATGTGGATTGTGGAAACGGTGGAACCACACTGTTGGATGCACGTCATTCTGAGTGCATGTCATCCTAACGTCCTGCCGAGTGCTCGTGCTATTCATGCGGCTGCTGGACGTTTTTACTTGGTTCTCACTCTCTAGACAATCATAGCGTCTGATTCAACTTGGAGATGGTAGCTAAGCCTAAGTCGCACAATCCTACCAAGCGGATTTGCGTTTAGTTGAGTAATGAGTTCGTCGTAAGCTCTCATAGTGACGGATCCTGAACAACAAGTGGTATTAGAGCGGGTAGTCAACTTTGAGACGACGAATCGTCGTGAATTCTCAACCAATGTTGACGAGTGAGACCAGTTTCTAGTAGCTCTGCTCGCGAAATTTCGATTGGTGGTCGAACCGCGTTTTGATTCGAAGTACTCAGTCCGCGACGGCGATTTTCGTAGAATCGAAATTTCTGGCAGAATTCTCTCCAAACGATTGCTCAAGTTTCCAGCGTTCATAAGGCCTCAATATGGTTGGTATGAACTCCGGAGGTGCTAGTGGCGAGATGGATAGAAGTAGAGAGGCTGGAGAGCAAGGGGGAGTTGCTGGTGGACGAGTGGGGACTCACCAACCAACCAACCCTACGCTACCCTCAACTTCTACACCATCTCCTACAACCGTGGATCCTGTGAAGGCTTTCTCTATTGAGAAATTCATGGGGGAAGGCTACGAGCACTGGAGCTTCCGCATGAGGCTGATGTACACCCAATACAAGCTATTGGATTTGGTGGAGGGGAAGGAGAAGATGCCGGAGGCCGCGGAGCTGAAAGGAGCATGGATGAAGCGGTCGTTCGACGCGTACATGCTCATGGTGCAAGCGGTTGGCGGACGACAACTTGACCACATCAAGGACCTCTTGGGTGATCCAGAGTGTGGCCCCAAGGCTTGGAGTAAGCTTCTAGATGTGCACTCACCGACACATGCTACCGGCATCGTGCTACTCGCGCGGCGGCTGCGCGACATCAAGTTCGTTGATGGAGAGCCGATGCAACCGGTGTTGGATGAGATGCGCGACATCTTCACAAAGCTCCAATGCGGCGGTGTGGTGTACCCAGAGCTCGTGCAATGCGTGGAGATCGTGATATGACTGCCGGAGTCGTGGTCTGCCCTTGTGATCAACCTCAACTCTCAATAGCCCCAGTGGAGCGTGGATTACATTCGCGTGCGCATCCTAGAGGAGGACTTGCGGTGGCGGAGTGTGGAGCGCTCGGGGGAGGGGGCTGGCTATGGAGTTGGAGGTGGAAAGAGTGGCTTCAAGAAGAAGTGGAAGGGCATAAACAAGGATAACTCTAAGGAGGATGGCGGCGGGGGTCAAGAGGAGGTGTGCTTCTACTGCAAGAAGCGCGGACATCGTTGGCGGAAGTGCTACCAACGACCCAAGGATTGGACCCCGCCTTCATCAAGCAACCAGCGTGGAGGCACGAGGAGTGGGGGAGTCATGGGAGCTAGTGGAGAGGAGAAGGAGGAGGAGAAAGGCGGCAAATCTGAGGAGCGGAAGGCCGGGATCTTCTTCTTCGTGAACGAACGCGCAACCGACCTCGCTATGGCTGCCAAGGTTCTCCTACACCCCCTCACCCATTGGGTGATTGACTCTGGGAGCTCTTGGCAGATGACTCCTCGTGCGGACCTACTCGATAAGATTCAGCCCGCACCCATCTCTACAGTCACATCCGCGACGGGCGCCAAGGCCAAGGTCATGGGCATGGGATGCGCCAAGTTCATAGGAGCGGATGGAGAGCTCGTGGGGCTGAAGAACGTGCTGTGGGTGCCGGAATTGTGCGCGAACCTGATTTCTACCGGCCGGTTGGGAGATGTGGGTGTGAACACCGAGACGATTGGCTCGGAGCGCTATCGTGCCTACAACGATGAGCAGCTGATTTGGGACCTGCAGCAGAAAGGGGATGTCCACAAGCGGATGTGGCAAATCCCGGTACTCCCTTGGCGAAAATTGGGCAAGGCGGCAGCGGCGGCATGTATGGAGGAGAGTGTCACTGAGGAGGAGCAGCAAGGTGTGCAAGGAGAGGAGCTGATTGGAGGAAGCGCGGCGGTGAAGGCGTCGGCTACCTCGGGCCAAGCGGATTGGGAGACTTGGCATCGGCGGCTCGCACACGTGGCTGTTTCCACATTGGAGGTGATGCACAAGGAGAAGTGCGTACATGGGCTGCAGCTGCAAGGAGATGGCGCTCACTATGGCAGCTGCGAGGTGTGCATGCAAAACAAGTTTGTGCGGTTCCACGTGCGGAGGGATCGGCGAAGGCACCATTGGAGGTGGTGCACATGGACCTGGTGGGTCCTATGAGGACTGAGGGGACTGGGGGAGTGCTGTACTTCCTCACCATGGTGGATGAATGGAGCAGATTCACATGGGCACGTCCCTTGTCCAAGAAGAGCGATGCTGCAGCGGCGATCAAGGAGGATTGGTTGCCGATGGTGGAGCGGCAAGCGATGCGGCTGGTGAAGGTGCTGAGGAGCGACCGTGGTGGAGAGTTCCTTGGAGCGGAATTCACCAAGTTTCTCAAGAGGAACAGCATCCGACACCAACTGACCTGCCCTGGAACACCGCAGCAGAACGGCATTGCTGAGCGCGCCAACCGGACCATTGGCGAGGCGGCTAAGACTCTGCTGGGGGCTGCCGGGATGCCCTACAAGTTCTGGCCTGAAGCTGTTCGCCATGTCATCACAGTCAAGAACAGGGTCTTGACGCATGTTGGCGACTAGCATTGGGTGCCATACGAGCGTTGGCTTGGGAAGAAGCCATCCATTGACATGCTGCGGGTGTGGGGCTGCATGGGGCTTATGATTGTGCCTAAGGAGCAGAGGCACAAGCTGGAAGTTGCTGCTGTGTGGGTTGTCCATCTTGGGATGGCTCCTGACTCAAAGGGGTGGCTGATGTGGGATCCCAAGAGCAAGAGGACGCTGGTCAGTCGTGACGTCAAGTTTGTGGAGGACGTCATGTACAAGGACTGGCAGCAGCAGCAGCAGGTGCAGATTGGCTTGCGTCTGCAGGAGATTGAGCGGTCCGCAGTGGAGGAGGTTCAGCTGCACCTTGAGGATCTCCCTTCGCGCCGCCGCGCCTGCCCGTTACGCCCGCTGCCGCGCCCGCCCGTTAGGCCCGCCGCGGGCCCTGCCTTCGCGCCGCCGCGCCTACCCGTTTGGCCCGTCACGGGCCTGTCCGCTACGAGCGCCACGGGCCCGCCCCTTGCGCACGCCGTGCCTGCGTTTTGCGCCCGCCGTGGGCCTGCACTCGCGCAAGTGCCCCGCCCTGCCAACGCGCCAGTGCCCTGCCCTGCGCGCACAAGCGCCCTGCCCTGCCCTGCCCGAGCAGCCTCTGCAGCGCCCTGTGCGCCCTTCCGCGGCCCTGCACACCTTCACGCTTGACTCAGGTGCTTCCCGCTCCTTCTTTCGCGACAGCACCACACTCACGCCGCTCAGTCGGCCAGTTGCACTCTCCCTAGCGGACCCCTCTGGGGGACCAGTCCTTGTGCACTCCTCTACAGTTCTGCCGTGTCCGGCGGTCCCGTCTGGCTCACTATCGGGTCTTCACATCCCCTCGTTCTCTACGAACTTGGTGAGTGGAGCTGACCTCCAGGACGTGTGGGTTGACCAGTTCACTCCTGGAGGTCAGCGGGTGGTCCACTGTACGTGTACTCGGACGGGCCGCCACCTGGCCACGTTCACCCGTCGGCCTGGGTCGAGCCTGTACACACTGACTACTGAGTCTCCTCCCGTTGCTGAGTCTCGTCAGGTAGCCGCGTCTAGTCAGGTGTTTGCTGCCGCGTCTAGGTCTGGTCCGGAGTCTGCCCCCTGCTCGTGTCGTCTCTTGTCACACCGGACTCTCCTTTGGCACCACCGCCTTGGTCATTCCTCCCTGCCTCGTCTCCGAGGTATGGCCTCCCGTCTCCTTGTCACTGGTCTCCCCCGGTCTCTCCCTCCCCTCCCACCGGGGCCTGCCCCTACCTGCGTTCCTTGCGTCGAGACATGGCAGCGCGCCGCTCCTCACTCCTCCGAGTTCCCTCCGACAGAGGCTCCCCTACAGACTCTCCACATGGACGTGTAGGGCCCAGCCCGCGTCCGTGGACAGGGTCACGAGCGTTACTTTCTGCTGGTTGTTGACGACTACTTGCGTTACACCACAGTCTTCCCCTTGCGCCGCAAGGGTGAGGTCACTGAGGTGCTGATCACCTGGATCTACGCTGCCCGTCACCAGCTCAGAGAGAGTTTCGCCTCGGACTTTCCTGTTCTGCATCTGCACTCCGACAGAGGTGGAGAGTTTTCCTCCGACCTTCTGCCGGCCTACTATCGTGCAGAGGGCATCCGCCAAACGTTCACGCTTCCGGCCTCCCCACAGGAAAATGGGATTTCTGAGCGCCGCATTGGCATGGTCATGGACGTCGCTCATACGTCCATGATCCATGCGGCTGCTCCCCATTTTCTATGGCCGTTCGCGGTCCATTACGCTGGGCATCAGCTCAACCTCCAGCCCCGTGTCTCCGTGCCGGAGACCACACCTACTGTGCGGTGGACGGGGAAGGTTGGCGATGCGTCTGCGTTCCGTTTCTGGGGATCACGAGCTTT